CCGCGCTTGTTTCAGTATTTTTTTTAATCAAACTTTATTTTGTACTGTGTTTTCTACGTGAAAATGCTCGTACCGAACCGTAACCCCTGTACCGTGAAGGTTCAATATGAATACGCATACCGTGCCACCTTTAGTTATCACTGTTTGTATTTATTGCCCAAAAAGTGCTGCATATTTCATTCCCTCTGTTACCGACATGAGTTTTTAAATTTTTTGTCTTGAACTTGAAAGAATCTCACAGGTTTAACTTGACCCTGTTGGAGTGTAACTCTTTCCTACATTCTGATACTTTACTTATTTCAATAGTTCCTCTAGTTTCTGAATAAAAGACATTTGAATGTCAAAAATCTGCCCCCGTTTCCCTCCGTTACCACTTGACCAGACTCACAATCTAAGTTTAATCGTGTTATTCTTTTTGTTTCAGTTTAAAGATGTTCAACCCGACAAACGACACCCTGTCCGTGTGCAAAGACGTCTACGTGGCCTGGAGTTTACTTTACCTCTCCCTGAGTCCGGTTTTCGTTCTGGTGCTCTACCTCGGATGTAAACAGTGGAGGAAACCGCAGCCGCACCTCGACTCGGACACTTTCACCTTCCACATGGCCGGCGTGGAGCTCGTCAGAATCGCGTCCTGTTGCCTCACCGTTTCGTTTTACTATTTGCCGTACAATCTTCGTATAGAAAGCGCCGGGGCCGGTCTGGAATCCACGTCGACGCTCGGACAAACCCTCTTCCACACTCTGGTCTGCACCGAGCGTTACTTGGCCGTGGTCCACCCCATCGCGTACGTGCGTCTGAAAAAGAACGGGAAGATCATTCGACACGTTTGCGCGACGACCGTGTGGCTCGTCTGCTTCGGCGTTTTGATCGTCGACCGATTGGTAGACGAACTTTTTATTCTCGTCTTAGTGGTCACGGTCGGCGTCGTATCCGTGTTTGTCGTGACGTTTTTTTCCGCTCGCGTCCTCTGCGTTCTGATTCGTCCAGGCCCGGGGGAAAGGGGGCGCGTTGACCCGTCGAAACGTAGAGCGTTTTAGCACGATCTCGCTCATTACGGTTGCGTTGTTTATCAGGTTTGTCACGCTCTTCATCAACTACTTGATTTACATGTCCGGTCGGCTGGACTTGGCTTCGTTTTGTCTCTTGAACGTCTCGTCGCAGTGGCTGAACATTCCGAGCGTTGTGGTGCTGCCGGGACTTTTTCTGCATCGGCGAAAGACGCAGCCCTAGACGCCTCGAGTTGGAGCCTTTGCATTTGAGTTCAGAAACAAGTCCCCGGTTCCGGTCTTTTCCCAAAATAATGTCAGACCAGACTGAGAGGACTTCAGCGTTTTTATTACGTAAAACCATCCGTGGAGAAGATCGACTCGACGACTGCGGCGTGAATATATGAATACTCAACTAATGACGCTGGATCAGTCCTGGTTTAGTCATTAAAGGCATTAAAGGTTGTATGGAGGATTTTTTTTTTTTTTTTTTAGTTTCAAATTGTCAGAGAAATGTTAAAATACCATTACAGAGACACAGCAGCCTTGTAATTATGACCCAAAAAAAAAAGGAAATGTATCAACTGTGGACGTGTTGAGGCCAGATAAACATCAGCCAATAGAAAACAAGGCTCCCTCTTTATTTATTGGCTGTTGTGTGTTCAACAGATACATATGTACTCTAGTTTATGAAACTGTTGACCTTTTTTCTGGACCATTTTTGGTTCTAAAGTTCCATCTGTTTTAAACAGACCATGAATGAAACATGGAACAAAATTATTTCCCAAATTTCAAAGACCCAAAAATCATGTAAATAAATGTTTGTATTTCATCATATCTTGTGTTATTCCATCTTTGAACTGTTGATGAAGGGACAGGATTAAAAAAAAAAAAAAAGTATTTAAAATGATAAAAATTTGCTCGGAAGGACTGACATATTTTATAGAAATAGTTTCCTTTCCTTTTGAAGTAAATGTAGTTAAAATGATTAAGTGAGATTCAGGACCAGGCCTCAGCCGCTCGTTCCTCTCACCAGAGAACCACAACTCACCTCGACCACACCTCCAATTTCCCAGAAGCCTGTATGTCGCAGCCTTTCCCATCATCCCAGTTTGTCTCTGTGAACTCGACCCCACCCTCCCATCTTCTATTTTGTCTTTCAGTCATAAGACGCCTACAGGGGGGGTCCCGTTGGCTGGGCCAATTGTAGATTGAGACGGAGCCTCCACCCAGAGTCTCAACCAGCCTTCTCTGCCTCGCTTCGTACGTTGTCAATAAACTTCTTCGCACTATGTCGTTGTTGGCGTGGTCCGAGCTAGTGAATATTAAAGTATTCAGAAGAAAAAAACTGACAAATGATGCAAAATCATGCACCTTCTACAATTTTCCCTCCGTTACTTTTCCCTCCGTTACCATGACCTTTCTTAAATTAATCAAACATTAAGAGGTTTTTCAACCTAATCTTGTATCATATGGTAGAAAACTATATGAAGCAAATATTCAAACCAGTTTGTTAAGGATATGTAAGTGAGAACCAAGAGTTATCACTGTTTGGATTTACTGCCCAAAAAGTGCTGCATATTTCATTCCCTCCGTTACCGACATGAGTTTTTAAATTTTTTGTCAACAACTTGAAAGAATCTCACAGGTTTAACTTGACCCTGTTGGAGTGTAACTCTTTCCTACATTCTGATACTTTACATCAGGAGAGTCAAACTCATTTTGTTCCGGGGTCGTGTCTGTTTTTTTTTTCCCCATTTTTCATTTAAACACAAAATCGAAAACTGAAAAAACGAATCATTATCTGTTTTTTTCATTTTGGTTTTGGAGACAAATAATGAAGAAAATAGTTGTTTTTTCGTTTTCGGTAACACTTTATAACAGGGGTGTAAAACTCATTTTGTTCCGGGGTCGTGTCCAACCGACTTTGATCCCAAAGTGTCCGGATCAGAAAACTCATGTCATATAAACCCCAAAAATAACAATAAGTTCAAATATTTGTGCAGAGAAACACAAATCTATTACAGAAATCTTTTTTAATTGATGAACTCTTTCTTTTACAAAATATTATAATATTATGAACAACCTGAAACTTTAAGAAAAATACAATTCAACACACAAAGTTTGAACATGAACTTGTCTGTAAACAGGAATAAGTCCATTTTTTGTTGTAAAATCCTGCACTCGGCTCCACTTTTCTCATGTTGGACATTTTTCTGATGAGGGTGTCACGGTCAACAGTCAAAACGATCGTCCTTTAAGAGCGTTTGGAAAGAGACAAGTCTTCATTTGTGCTGCTCTGGTGGGAGGGGCCACGTACAGAGACGCTGGAGATGCTGCTGTGATAAACACCACAGAAAATTAACAAGATTTTAAGAGAAAATATAATAAAAATATTTGAGTAGAAAATCAGCCGAGGACCAGATTAAAGGTCTTGGAGGGCCGGATCTGGCCCCCGGGCCGTATGTTTGACACCTGTGCCTTACTTATTTCAATAGTCCCTCTAGTTTCTGAATAAGAGACATTTGAATGTAAAAAATCGGACCCTGTTTCCCTCCGTTACCAGTTGACTGGACCCAGGTGTCCATGTCCACGTGAAGAAACTGACAAATTAAGTCCATTATTCATTCATTCACAAACATCATCAAACATCATCAAAGAGTCCTCCACTCAAGAATTCATATTTTTTTTTATATTTTTTTAACTTGTTGTCTGTTTTTTCCTGTTTTGTTTTGTTTGTTTTTTTCAAAAAACAACAGCTCCACATCTGAACAGGAAGTGGTGACGTGAAGAGTGCGGCGGCCGAGAGCTGCCACACTTTACAGGAAGAGTTCTGTTTTCGAGAGTTCAGCACTGAAACGTCGCACTGACATCTACAGCTCCAAACAGGAAACACTCTGATGTCACACGGTAAAACATGACGCGCTCCACTGTGTTTTTAAAGTCCACGCACCTTCACGAGAATCATTTGGATCATTTCAGCTCTGGAATTGTCCAAATCTACTCAACCAAAGGCCCGTCCACACTAGTTTGTATTTGTGTCGTTTTGGTTGTGGATGCAGTGTTCGTTCACACTGATCCGACTGAAAACGGCTCCAGAGACGGAACGATCTGGTGCCTCCATGTTCGTACAGATCTGATCCGTCACCGTGTGGACGCCTGAAAACACTGATACTCTGATGTAGGCCTGTGCACTGCAAAGTGGCTAATTCAGTGTATTTATTTATTTATTTATTTATTTGGAGGATAAGCCCTTGACATGTTTCACCATCTCGTTTTAGAGGGGTTCCTCATAAATACAACAGCAAAAGACAGACACAGTAGCGCAGACAGAAGCTAGAACATATGTCCAGGCGTATGTGTATGATCGTACGCACAGAGCACAGGTGTCAAACATACGGCCCGGGGGCCAGATACGGCCCTCCAAGACCTTTAATCTGGCCCTCAGCTGACTTTCTATTTTAGTAGAAAGTCATCTGAGGGCCAGATTAAAGGTGTTGTAATTATGTTTTCTATTAAAATCTTGTTAATTTTCTGTGGGTGTTTATCACAGCAGCAGCGTCTCTGTACGTGGCCCCTCCCACCAGAGCAGCACAAATGAAAGACTTGTCTCTTTCCAAACGCTCTTAAAGGACGATCGTTTTGACTGTCGACCGTGACACCCTCATCACAAAAAATGTCCAACATGAGAAAAGTGGAGCCGAGTGCAGGATTTCACAACAAAAGATGGACTTATTCCTGTTTACAGACAAGTTCATGTTAAAACTTTGTGTTGAAATTGTATTTTTCTTAAAGTTTCAGGTTGTTCATAATATTATAATATTTTGTAAAAGAAAGAGTTCCTCAATTAAAAAAGATTTCTGTAATAGATTTGTGTTTCTCTGCACAAATATTTGAACTTATTGTTATTTTTGGGGTTTATATGACATGAGTTTTCTGATCCGGACACTTTGGGATCAAAGTCGGTTGGACACGACCCCGGAACAAAATGAGTTTGACTCTCCTGATGTAAAC